CGCCGACTTCGAAATGCACTAAAAAGTATAAAATAATTTCTATTTCCTAATGAAGTAATTTCTATTTCATTCAATCATACAATTACGTAACAGATATGAATGAAATCTATTTACTCGTTAGGTAGTATATTAAATACATTTCAACCTTTTCGGAGGCGGCGCAAAATTAAAAGATTTTCTTGAACATGTCAACCTTTGGACAGCCGAACATAGGCAAAGCTTGTATAGCTATTTTTTTTTTCTATACATATAACTCGACAGCACGCCGCGAAGTAGGTGTTAGTGCGTATAGAATGTAACTATGGTCCAACTAGATTCGTAGAGTATGCGATGGAAAGACTCGATCGCCGCATATATGTACTATAAAGATAGAGCCCATCTGCTCTTTCGAAGTCGGCGCATTTTTTTTTCTTAAAATTATTTTATCTGATTGAATTTTAGACCAGAAAGGATATTCTAGCGGTTCTACGTACCTCCTACTCGCCTGATCTATGTAACTTTATGTAACTTCCTGTTACCACATTTAAATTCTACATCAAATTTTTAAACTGTGACAATATTAAAAAAATCGTGAAAAATCAACTGAAGATTAAATAAACATCGCGTGTTACATTTTTCCAATAATTAAATAACAATTATCAGTTTTGTTTAATAGTAAATGAAGTTAATTTTTTATTAAATGATCGTGTCACTAGATAATTATCGAACAAACAAACGAAGCAATTGCTAGTTACCGTTTATAAATAATGGACAAACTTCTGTTTCACGTCAGTCACCGACACCCGTTCTGTTCGGCTGATTTCATTTTTGTTTTATCGATATCTGTAAATATCTTCAGTGCCGTTCCATCGAAATAAGGTGCAAAAGAATTTCATTGCAGTTTGACATTTTATTATCTTCGATGAAGAGAACATAATTTCTTCCGATGAAGAAATTTCATTAAAATCATAAAACAGTACTTATAAGTACAGGATTCTTGTAAAGAACAAGCAAAATTATCAAAAGTGCAGAATGGTAGTGCGTAAAGTAGAGAACAACGCGTCGAAAAAAATAACTGTTTGTGGAACGTCGTCTGGAGAAAAATCAAAATTCAAAAATGAAGCATGCACAAGTGCACCGCCGAAGACGTGTATTCGATCTGCTGAACATAAACCAAATCATTCAAAATATTGCTGCTCATGCAATGGAAAGGAGGTATTTGTTAATACTATGTTTTCATGTGCATTGTGTTATGTTAGACAATATATTGTGCTCCTATATTCATAATACCTACTCATATTTTTGTAATTATATCAGGTACTATATTACTATTAATAGCTTCAATGTTATGTTACAATATCCATATTCCAATATTATATTTCGTTCTAATTTTCTAGTAGTGATGTTAAATATCATAATATGTTATATTCTAGTAACGAGTTACATTCTGATAATATTACATATATCAATATTTTGATTACAAATAAATGTTATGTAGTGGGAAAAAAGAGTAATTAAGCACACAGGAAGACTACCAATAACTCCTATGAAGAAAAAAATAGTAGCTCCAAAAGTATTAACAAAAGAAGAATATAAGAAATATCAAGAATTATGTCCTACAACAAAAGAGGAGCAAGAAATGGCTGTCACAATGAAAGAAGAAGAAAGACAAAGACTTATAAAAGAAAGTATAGATAGAAAAGAAGAATTTCGCAGAATAGATAGAGACAACCCTAGAGAAAAATCTGCAAAACTGATTGAAATTGAAGAAGATGCTAGAAGAAGAGCAAAACATATACTTGAACGAGCAGAAAATTTAAAACTTGAACAGGAGGAGGAAATTCAAAAATGTAATAGGATTATTTTAGAAACTAAATGCCGAGCTATCCGTGATGCACAGGTAGTGGAATATTATTTTTTAATTATTAAAATATATTTTATAGAGGAAACAATAAACTGTATAAATATAACAATTTCTGTTAAATACTTTATTTCGATAATTTTGTTAAACATGTTAACATTTTGAATCTTGCATTTTTTGTAGATAGCAGAAAAAAAATTAATTGAACAGGAGTTAGAAGAAGAAGAACAACGTCTTAACGACATGATGGAAAATGAAAGAAGATGGGCAATTAAAGAAGAATTTAGAAAAGAACAAGAAGAAGCAGCTAAGAGACAAAAATTTGCTAATAGTTTAATGGATCAAATAAAAGACAATGAAGAATATAGGATGTTAGAGTTTGAAAGGAAACAAGAAGAAAGTCGATTAATTAACTTAAGCAACATTGCTTGGCAACAAGAACAAATTGCTAAATTACGCAATAAAGAAGCTGAAAATGCACGAATTCGACAAGACCTTGCTACAGTAAATGAGCAGCTGAAACACTTGAAAGCCATGGAAGAACAGGAAAATAAAATCATTGATCTCAGGTACATTACTTCAATTTTGCATTAATAATTAATTAGCTAATACATCTTAAACGTATAGGATACAAGAATATCAGACATATAAGGAAGAAAGAGAAGCACGATTAGCGGAGGAACGTAGATTAGAAAAATTAAAGAAAGAACAGACCAAGGCAAAAGTTGCAACACAATCACTGCAAGCAAGGGATTATCAAGTATTTATTCATATAATTAATAAAACTAATATTTTAATAAATTATTCAATTTTTTTCACTTGTTTAAACATACATTTTTAACTATTTGTTTATTTTAAATTTCAATATTTTGAATTTCTTTAATATTTCTTTAATATTCACCGATTTTTATATTATATATTAAATTCTGTACTTTACATAAATTTTAGTCATAACATTGTAATTTTAATAGGAACGAATCGACGAATTAAACGCTGCTCGAATTCAAGAGGAAGTGGAACGAGAATGGAGACAAAAAGAAAAGGAAGAAGCTTTAAGAAGAGCGGAAGCTCATAAAGCTCTTACAGAGGAAAGACAAAAGCAAATAAATAACAAACGAATAATGCTAGCAATTGAATTGGAACGAGAGCGACGTGAATTTGAAAAAATCGTACGAGTTCAGAAAGAAGCTTTCTGCCGGGAACAAAAAGAAATTGAGAAAAAACAGAAACAAGCTTTACTTCATAGGAGCGAGATATTAAAACAGGTTTGTTGATAATGTATAATACGAATATAAATTTTGATTTTCAAATAATATTCTAAAATTTCATAATATCTTCAATGCTTATAAAATGCAATTTGTTGTTTATTTATACCTTTGATTTTATCTTCCTTACATACTTGAAACATATACAATTTCATTAGCAATTTATTTTCATTCAATAACTTAATTTTATATATCAATGTTTTCTTCAGGTAAATGAAAAAGAAAGAGAACGTATTGAAGCAAGACAAAAAATGTTTGAGGAAGGTTTGGCAATTCGTACAGAAACTGAAATACGCAAGAAAAAATTGCGCGAGGCAATGGAAAGGAAATGCAATGAAATGAAAAATAACAAAGTACCTGAAATGTATATCAATGAAGTAAAACGAATGATTGATAACATAAAATAAATATAATAAATATACATTTGTAACTTGTCCATACATCATTCAAAATATCCTGCATAGCTTCACATCATAAAAAGATTTCTTTTCGCTTTTCAAAATTATAAAAAAAGTTGTTTTTTTGAATATTACTTCCATAACATGACAACATTTGGATCACGTTCAACAATATCTTCAATTTGTGCAGCTGATTGACCAGTGCTACAGCAAATCTCGTCGAGACTGTATGTACCTGTAAAATACTTATAAATCGGATTGTTTTTTGCTTCTTCATTGCAAGGAGATCCTGGCAAATATATTGGATACTGCAAGAGACAATGAAAGCAATTAAGTATATTGTAAAGTATAGTAAATCACATAAATAAAATTAACAAACCTTATATACTCTACGAATAAGACCTTCGATTAGGCCAAATTGTACAAGTCGTCTTTCATTAATTCTTAAATTCTGAGGATTGAGACGTTGACAAAGATCCCTCATACTGCTACCATGTGTCATACTTGCATACATTCGATATATATCTCTAAGATATGCAGGTTGCCTAGCTAAAAATAACAGATAACAAAAATTTTTATTTTTAGGCTTCTATTATTTATGTGTATTTATAAACTTTTGTAGCGAAAACATAAGACTTACGAAATTTTGAAGCATATGTTATACATCGTTCTTGTAGTTTTGGATTTTCTGCAAGTTCTTTTAATTTGGAAGTTGCAGCATAAACATTACTATATTGAAATATTGGAATCAAAGTCACAACACCATAATATCTATAAATAAATTAAGAGAATACCTTTAAAAATTGTTCATCTAAAAAAAGATTTTGTATTGTATTAATACACTTACACAAGGTTTTGTACGCAACTCTTAACTAAGTTGTTTTCTACATCTGCCTCAGCTGCAATTCTTGCAACATGATTAAATCCATCTATATAAGGTAATACTTGCTGAGTAGTTAAATCCCATTGATCACTCTGAAATGCCTCACGGCCTTCTAAGAATATTGGTACCTGATGATCAAGAACTGGTTTTGGCTCAGGTGCTAACTTTATAACTTTCAAATTGGATGTCATTGTCCCTTCTATCAAATTATTAATATTTATATTTTTAATATTACTATACAAAACTATTTATTATGAACTATTCTTACCTGTTAATGTACACATCTTATGTGAGTTTAAATCCTGCATTACTTGTTGAAGCATTTCTGCTAATCTAGTTTTATCGTCAGAAGCAGATAAAAAACAATTCTCTACTTCAAGGGCCATCTGAAAAATTTAATTAAATTTACTAATTAATACTTCTTAACATAATCAAATATAAAGATCTTACTAGAAAATCAGACATCTTCTTCACAACAGGTTCATAATGAACAGTACGAGCTTGTGCATCACAGACAAAACATAAATTAAAATAAAATGCATTTCTTGCATATTTTTTGTCATCAATCTTCACTGGAAATCCTAAGATTTTATAATCCTTCAGTGTCCTATAATAAAACAAAAAATTAATTAACTAACTTAAAATCAATATTAATATTTTTCAACTTACACTGTTATGGTACTTCGTTGTAATTGTGCTTTGGGTATAATATAAACACTAACGTTATCAAAAATGTCCTTCGAAATAAAGTTATCTGGAACCTAAAACATAGAACTACGTTATTACTGTCATTTATAATATGTAACATATACAAATATTAAACAAATATATGTAATATAAAACAAATTACATGCAATACTTATTAACCTGACATGTAATCATCGGGCCAACAATTGGATGAAATTCTGAAAAAAATATACATCTAATTGGATCTTCTTGGCCCTTATCTTTTGTATTTTCTGTTAATGATGTCATTTTGATAGCATATGATTACATCAAACTAAAAAATCTGTCCTTAAAAAAACAAATGAAGCAATTGTTAAATATATATTCAAACAAATGTGTATGTATAATATATTCTTATATTTACAAACCTACTTTATTTGTATCCTTCAGTTTTTGCAAGAAATATGCAATGAATCTTCATGATGTATAATGAAAGTTATAATACTGAATCTAAATTCAATACAGATCTATACAGAAAATTATTACAATTATTTGTTAAAATCATTTAAAATGCAAATACTACCTCGCTTGAATCGTTTTTGAATTTATATCTATTTCCATAACTAAAAAATTTGCTATTATACTCGGTGTTAAAAAAAGTTTTTTGTATTAATCAGACATATTAAGTGAGGTCTGTAACTTTATTTTAATTTCATTTTACTCGTGCAAACAACTTTGTTTAGAGTCATAAAAACATTTGTTTGCGCTTAAAAAATACCAATTCTACATTCATATATTACATGTTTTGTATTGCTAGATATAGTAGTGCATATATAGGTATATTCAAGTGTAAATTTGGCTTTCATGGAGAAAATGACGATCTAGGGAAAGAGATCGTACAAGTTCTACTGCGGCGAAAAATTACTAGAGTGCATGTGGTGACCTCATGAGTTCATGCGGTAACTTGGAGAAGTTCGTCGACTTCTCTTTGTCTATTTATTGTGTTTTTGGTTAGGAGAGACAATGACGGTAAATATGAAATTGCCAAAAAACACGCATTACCCCAGTCAAAAGTCCTCTGCGAAAAAGTAATATTTCGACATGATTTCTTTTTGATTTATATTATTTTAATTCTACAAAGATAAGGTCAAACGCTTTTTTGTATTTTATTAATAATATCGCTCGCCGCTAGATGGTGCAGTGGTACTATTTTTAGAGGCAGCGTGTGTAAATTATATGTATATATATATATATTTATACATATATTTCAAAGAATATGTAGAAGTGAAGCTTTCAAAATATTTTAAACTTTTTAAATGAATTACTTTACAATATTTACTTGAAAAAACTTTATTATTTATTGATTCTTGTGAATTAGGCATGTCAATGCTTATGCACTGTACATGGTGAAGACAGTTTTCCTTGGCCGCCATTTTCCCTAGGAAATTTACTCTGGAAGAACGCATATACTTACATAAATATAAGTATGTGTGTGTATACACACATATAATGAAAGATATGTGATAAAGAAAGACTCAGGAAACAGATTGTTGTATCGCAGAAAATAACTCAAGAATAAAACTGAGTGAGAAAGAATGTGCATAAGCATACAAGCAAACGAAAACAAAAATGAGTCAAGATAATGAAGTATGCGAATGAATAACATTATCAAAAAAAATGAAAATAGTAAATATGGGCAGGAAAGTAAGAAAGAGAAACTATACAATGTTCTGTAACGTATAAAAAAGAGAAAAAAAAAGTAAAATAGTAAAATAAAAGGAGAAAGAAAGTATATGTGTGAGAAGGAGATACTTAGGGAGACAGGAAAGAAAAGAGAGAACAAGAAGGATTCAATGAATAAGTACTACCAAGTGACTGTAATAAAGAGAGGAAGAATATTTAACATTCCTCGCTAAATTATTGGTATGTAATTTTTTTTTTATTTATTTTATTGAAAACTTATAAATTCTTTTATGATATTCGGTATACACTAATTATTTTACGTATATATAAATGCGACTGTATAAGTTTGCAATATGTGACCAAAAATTATTTATTCAAACCAAGTGCAAAAATGTTATTTACAATATTTTTATTTTACAATATTTAATTATACAACTATTTTACACATAATAAATATCTGAATATCATAATCAATATTTTATCTTATATTAAAATTAAGTACAGAAATAAATTGAATTATATACATATCATTGAAATGTTATATCTTTTTAAATTACACTTACATTTTTAAATGCAAGAAAAGTCTCAGAACACTTGGATTTGTAATACATAAAATATACAAATTAGATTTTTTATTCAGTTTTGCATAAACTCCATATATTTTATTTTTGTATTTTCAAAATTAGTGAAGCTATAGAAACTTGTATAAATGAGTTTTTGTGAACCAGTGAAAAAACATATATAGATAATATTGTTTCCTTGACTAAAGACAAAAAACCTTAGATGCAAAGACATATTATTTAAAAGTAATGGAATCTTAAGTAGTACATAAGTTATATTTAATTTATGTTAAATGCTATGCCATATTTTGTTAAGAATTCCAGTTAAATTAATTGTCAAATGAAAAATGAAGGATACAAATTCTTGAATACTTTGTAATATTAAGTTAATATTTTAATAGCTGGTGAAGTTGCTGATGAAAAGCATCCTTATATTTTATTCATGTATTTTTTCCAAGTTGTGGAAGAAAGATACTTTGAGTAATTTTTTTTATACATATAACCACTGATTGACCTTTATTTTAGAAATATTCACAAAAGATTTCAATTAAATTATATTGCATAAATTTACATAAATTTGTAATGTTTAAATATGCTTTTCAAAAATTGTTTTGTATATTTAAGAAGTTTATTTATAAATTAAACTATTAATTTATAATTTCATATTACCAGAATTGTTATAAAAAATATCTAAATGATATTTATCAAATTTTGGATCCTTTATCACAATATGTTTCCAGTATAAAATTTCTCCTATTAAGATAATAAAAGCTAATAAATAACCAATTACAATAGCAATAAATGCACCTTGTAATTTATAGAGATTCACCAGTGCCTTTTCAGATTCTGTTTCTTGACGTATTTCCATAATTTTCGACCATTCCATAACATCACTTAACCATTTCTGAACTAATCCAACTTCTATTATACGTCTTACCTGAGAATATATACAAAGCATTGTTAAATTTTATAATTAATGTGTTGAGATAATTATATATTAATTTATTAATACCAAAATATCAACATGTGGTTTTAGTGGTGAATTTTTTTCCATGCCCAGAGCAATTGGTACATTTATAACACATTCTTCCATTATGTGCAAATTATGTTTTAATGGTACATTCTTAGCAGTTTGATTTTTCTTTTGTTCTTTTTCAAGTATCTGCCTTTTCACACGAGCATATCGAAGCAAATAAGAATTTTCATAGTAACAGAAAGATCCATTTGCTACTTTCTCAATAGCAGTCTCTTCATGATTAATTAATTGAAACTTATTACCAATCTCTTGACTACTAAGATCTGATGACATTAAAAAGAAGTCTTTGCCCTCTTCATTCCATCCTCCAACTTCTATAGAACTTTCAGCCAATTGTGTTAATGTATCGATGGTAACTCTAAAATAGTAAAATAAAATAGTGTTTCAAAATCTAATGTAAGTAAATCAGTCAATTAAAAAACTGTAAAAAAAATAAATTAATAATTGTACCAGCCTGTATGTAAAATTTGATGGAAGTATTCATATTTACCTGGAAACAGGATTTGCAAGAGCTGCAGTCATACTAGCTCTATATGCAACCGCAACTAGAATACTATAAATCCACCACCATCCAATTAGTACTCGTACAACCCAAGACCTTGGCAAATTCGGTAATGAAACTTGAAATAACATGCTATAAGTATATAATATACTATTTCCTATTTCAGTGAATAAGTATAACCCTTTTACTTCTTCTTTCATAGATATATTTTCAATATTCATTTGACTTTTATATGAGCTTATATATTTCTGATAGGACAGTGATAAAAAGTAAAATGTAACACCCCCTAAAATTAAAGTGAGGAGAAGTGCAATCCATGTATATAATCTGCGAACCAAAATATACAGAATTTTTAAAATTGATATATGGTACTTTCCTTCTTTCACTTGTACTTACTTAAACGGAAGTATTAAAAGCTTCCATGAATTTTCAGTCAAAGATTCTGGTGTTAAAAAAGTGAGGCATTCTGTATTATATGGAATAGTGAAATCAAAATAATTCAAGTGATGCAATGTATAGTGTAAATCACCCAAATAAAATGCAGCCTTTCCTTGCACAGCTTCATTTACAAGACCTGTATAAGTTTGGTTGTCTCCTTCGTTACCCCATTTTTCAGAAAGAATGTTGTATGGCATATAATATTTTGGATTGAAGTTCATTGCTTTCGATATAATCTGTATTAACTACAAAGTATCATCATTAATGTAAATATACAATACATTATATACATGATACATACTTCAAATTCAATCCCTAAAGCTTCTAAACTATTATTTGGTTGTTTGTTATAATAAGCTCTTGATTTCTCTGTTACGGCTGGAATATGTTCAAACACAGCAATTCTGAAATGCAAATAGACATATGATTAATGTATGTTTAAATATCATTATCCTTCTGAATTACAGTTATATTATAAATTTTATATACAAACCGTAAGTGTTTTTTTTGTAAGTTGTTGGTTTTCTCTATGAAATGATTATTACCATAACGCAATTTTCCCTTATACCAAGTATCTATATATTTGGTTTTAGTCAATGTTTTTTTATTAGTAGGAAAGTAGATGGTATCCAAATCAATTTTTTCCTTGAAGGTTTTTTCACCGGAACGATGCTTATATGCATTGTACTGATGTATAAAAACTACATTAATTATCCTGTTCCAAAGGTAATGTAAATCAGGTTGCAATAGAGTATAATCATGTAAAAGCAAAAATAGTCCATGAGTGTTAATTAAACGTTTTCTGAAAGTAAAAATAAGAAGTAGCAGTAATAAAATGATGTGATTAGATAAGTTCATATTAAAATAGATAAGTGAAATATAAGACTGTATTAAAAATTATGAATGGAATAAAGAAACATCCTTAAATTTGTTTTAGTATACTGTGTTTAAAAATTGATTAAGAAATTGACATTTTTTATCAAATATTGCAAATCATATTTATCTTCTGTGATTCACCTTTCTGTGTATTGCAAAAATTCTGATGTCAAATATCCGTTAGCAATCAGTATAACATACGCATTACAGCCGACCGCTTTACTGTCAACCAGAATATTTTGAATTCGTTTTCTCGGTCGAAAAAATTGTTCATTATCCCGCAATATAATCTACAATAATCCATACGTACGTATAAGCAATTCACACAAAATTTCTACATTTCTGCTCACCTCGTATTTTGATACAGTTGATGATCCCTTAATATATTTAATATCCACAAGTGTTTTGTAAACGGAATCAGTAACAAAAACAATGCAATTCGATCGTTCAATCATTTCTTCTACGATTAGTTCGACGACCGATTTTAAATTTTGGACGCTGTTCACGCATTGATGTTCTCTATAAAGTGCACTATATAATTTTGCAATTAATTTTCTTTAATCGAATAATAAAATTATATCTTGAAATTGCAAATTTGAAAATAGGTGTAAATCACAAACATTTCGTATAAATAATAGGGATCACAACTATTTTAGTATTTAATATTTGTCAATTTGACATTACTATATTTTTAAATTTCTTAAATTCCAAATTATTCAATTTTTTAATTTCCAAACTTGAAATGTTGAAATTTTTATATTTTTATGTCTCTAAATATCCAATTTTATAAATTTATAAATTTAAATACGTGAAATTTCGGCATTTCTAAATTTTTTAGTTTAAAAATTTGAAATATTCGTATATGTGCAACAGTGCCCGTAAGCTCTACGGCTAGTTCGTACTTCCGCAAAATTAAATTTTAATGCTGCGACATTTCATATCATATTTTGAGTAACTACAATTATAGCAATCAGTATTAAAGTTAATAGAAGACATTATATAACTTGATTATTTACTTTCCAAACATTTTTAACTAATACAAAGTCCTTTAAAGATAACCTGTTAAATATACCGTTATCGATACCTTTTACTAAGTACAAGAGTAATCTGAAGAAATAGGATAACAAGCATCGTAGCTTTCGCTCGACTAACGTAAAATTTAAATGCTTCTTCAAATTGATGCATCGCATACATTGCATATTGATCCGTCTACCTTCTTAATTTGTTCTCCCTTCGATTGTACGAAGCCATAAAATATTTATCAAACTCATTTACCGGGAAAAGAAATTAGATAGGTAATGCAGTCGGTAATGGAAATGCGAAGTACCGGTGTCATTCATGCCAATTTTTAAGTGGAAGGTCATGTTAAGTTCAGTTTATTTTTACTTTGAATTGTCAAATGATTTTTAAGTGGCTTGAAAACATACCATACATTTAATATTTAAAGTAGAAAAGAACACGAATGCGATCTCTCGAAGCCATGCAATGTAACGCTGTATACACGTGGCTATATCACGTGTAAATATGTATACAGCTAACGCAATATAACGTGTCATACTTAAAAGTATATACTACTGTGGATATATTGTCAGTATGTTATCTGTATTTAATGATATGTTAATAACATCATGAAGATATCATTTGTACTTTTACCTCTCAAACATGCGTATTCATTTTTATTTAAATTTTCGATACCTTTTGACTGGGTTGCAAGCAACAATAATCGGATTTAGACGATAAAATTGTGTAGCAGTTAGGTTAAGTTTATTCATGTTTAAATTTCAAATATAATCAAACTCAATTTCAAACGAGAGAATCGTATAATCGTAAAAAGTAGCTAACTGTATAGTATAGTCATTAATATCTAGATACTAATTTTACGTAAATATTATGAATATATAGTAAAAATTATTATGTATTTTATAAGTACATACATATATTATTATGACAATTCGATTTTTAAAAAATAATATATTTCATTCAAACAAATTTCCATATATTCTTCTCCATCAAATCTAGAAAGTTAAGTGGATAAATAAATTAAAAGATTTTTAAATAACTTTTGAAACGTACCGTTTTTATTTATAAAAGAAATTTTTATTTTATTTTTTTATTAATATTATTAGTAAACATATTATGATACTTCAAAATTAATTCACATAATTTAATCAGCAAACGAAAACAGGAATAGTTAATTTACAAGGTATATAAAATACAATTCGCAATTAGTGATTGTTTTAATATTGCGTATAATTAGTAATATCTTCGTGTAAGTACATTTGATTAGTGTAATTAACTAAAATTTGTTAATTATTAATAGCAAATTACTGATGGTGGAAAAATGTTCTTAGTTGCGACTAGTGAGTGTTGACGGTATAAATTATCTATAATTACGAACAATCATTATCGATAGCGGTAATCCTGTTACCTTATCATTAATTAAGATTAATAACAAGTGTTTTGTTTGGATTGTTTCGATCGTTGTAAAATATCACTGATAATTAACACCTGTTACAGATAAATTATGAAATTTATATATTTTAGTAAAGAAATTATGTAAACTTTGAAAATAAAATATAATCAAAGATTTGTTCAATTTTTTTAACAATTATTAATGATTAACGAGTGAAATCTGAAATTAATATTTTTTTGACAAATCTATCGAAGATTTAATAATGATTGCCCTCCATTTCAACATAATGAAAAATCTCTTCCAAAAAATTTTCAAAATCATTATTATTTTGGATTTTTTATATAAATTAATATTTTTTAAATTTCGTAATTAAAGATAATCCTCGTTTCCTAAATCCATCACTGGTTGTAATTAAGGAGCGGTTCAAGTCATACTTTGTATTATACAGTTCCGGGGAATATAATCAGTGTTGATAATTAGTACTTACGAAACGACCTTGAAAACTTTTTACGTCTATTATCTGCGAATATGCATACTTCATTTTTTTCACCAAATTTGCGAGTTTTTGTATTTGTTAGCAACACTAAATTATTACCTTACTACAACAAAATTCTATTGCCTTTTTATAAATAATAAAATAATTTTTTATATTTGATAATTCAATTTTTGTGCGTTACCATCATTGTAATCTATGTATGAGAATAGATTCAAAGCAGTCAATATTGTAAACGTTATTATTAATAAAATGTAAATATTTTTTCATTTAATGTTATGTAAAAGGAATTTTATTTTATATACCTAATTAATCATATACCTAGTTTAAATCTTTAATTGTAATAATATATTAATTTACTGTATTATATTGGATAGTACTGAATTAATTTTACATTTTTATTACAATTGTTACAAAAATTACAAATGTGTTATAATAACTATCATTTTTTAACACATTCAACTTTAATACGTTAATTCTATCAATATTTATTAAATATACAGTACATTTTGATGTAATCATATTAATATATAATTATTAATCAAATAAAGTGTTCTATTAATATATCATGCAACAACTTTATTCTATCCTTTATCAAAATTATGCACAAATAATTGCACAAAACGGTTTCTTTTAATTGAAATATCATTTTTTACTTGTATCTATTTTACCTAATAATTAAAAGAAAAAGAAAGGTATACAATATACGGATAAGTAACCTTCCCGGAATAATAAACGATAGTAAATTAAATTCATCGTATCCGTCTTTTATTATCAATACATAATACATATATGAGTGGAGGAAGTATTGTAATAAGTTTGTAAAGGTCGAGGTGCACAGTGTATATCGTTCTTTCGAATGAATAGCTGCTGATAACAAGTTTTTGCCATTTTTTGTGACCATAAGTCTTATCTATCATAAAAGCTGACGCATATTATCGGAATCCCACTACTGATACAAGATTAAAAAATGATGATAAATAATAAACCAGTAATAACGTCATATCTAAAGCAATTGACAAAAGTACTCATCAATTAAATGCATTCAATGTCTTGTGCACAGTATTATTTCATTAAATCATTTATTTAATTGTTTGAATGCATAGGTATACCAATCTAAGAGTTTAACGACAATGAGGGATAAAATTGTGGATTGGCCAAGTGGTCCACTAGATTCTTATAGGAAATGTGCAACGTTTGATTGGAAGTTACTAAAACTCACCTTAGAAGGAGAAGACTTTGTAGAATTTCAGGTATTTAAAAGAAAGCAGCTTTGATCCAAATTCCTTTTAAAATCAAATACAAATAATATAGACACTTTTTTAATTATAATTTCAGAATAATATATGGGATTTCATAAAAAAATCATCAGTATTTAAAAGACAAGCTTGTCATACATTAGATGATGAACGTAGACTTTGCAATGCTCGAATTAGAGTCATAAGGGATAATGAAATTATGGTAAATATTATAAAAATAACAAATCAACTTTTATTTATGAAGTTTAAAATGTAAATCTTTTACAGAATCCAATAATTCATAGAGAATGGTTTAATATATTATTTTATTATGATGCTGATATACCAATAAAAATGGGTGTAATGGATGGTATGGTACCAAGTGCACTATTTGCTTTAGGTACAAAACATCATTATGAAATGGCTATAAAGATTCAACAGGGACTGGTAAGCAATTATTTTTTTAGTGCTTAATGTTTAATATCAAATTTTTCTATATCACTTTATGTTAACAATTTTGTAACAACATATACAAATAACAAACAATGAATCATATTTTTTTTTTTAGTATTCATGTAGTTTTGCATTAACAGAAATATCTCATGGAACAAATGCAAAAGGTATGAGGACAACAGCAACATATGATATGAAATCGAAAGGATTTATTTTTCATACTCCAGATTTTGAAGCCGCAAAATGTTGGATTGGTGGTTTAGGTAGGTAATGTGACAGAAACATGCTTTTTAGTACGAAGTTAAAGTTTTAAATTAACAAAAGGTAATAAATTCTACGTTTTTAGGAAAAACTGCAACACATTCCATTGTATTTGCACAACTGATTACACCAGATAAACACAATCACGGTCTTCATGCTTTTATTGTACCAATTCGAGATCCAAAAACCCATATGCCTTTCCCAGGTATTAAGATTGGTGATATGGGTAAAAAAATAGCAGTGAATGGAGTAGACAATGGGCTTATGATGTTTGATAATTATTATGTTTCTCGGACATGTTTATTAAATCGAACAGCAGATGTTACAGAGGATGGAAAATATATAATATCAGTAAAAGATGAAAGCAAAAGATTTGGTGAGATTTAAAAAAAAATTCCCACTATTTGGAAACTGATTTTAATGACAATGTTTATAATTAAATTTTTATAGGTGCATCACTAGGTGCATTATCGTCTGGTCGTGTCACAATTACATCCATATGTGCAACTTTAGCGTCCATTGCAATAGTTATTGCTGTACGATATTGCGCTGTAAGAAGACAGTTTGGACCGTCCGAATTTGAAGAATGGCCAGTTATAGAATATCAAGCACAGGTATTTAAATGAATCGAATGACAACTTATAAAATAAAATTGTTGTACAATTAAAATTTAACATAAACATATAGCAATGGCGATTATTTCCTAACTTGGCAGCAACATACGCAATAAAAATATTTTCTGCTGCATTTATAAGTAAAATGTCTGAATTTCATTTCAAACTTATGTCTGGGCAATATCAAGATACTATTGATATTGAAGGTATGGAAATACATGCATTGTCTTCTGCAACCAAGCCATTATGTTCATGGACTAGTCGAGATATTATTCAGGATTGTAGAGAGTCCTGTGGAGGACATGGTTATTTAAAAAGTACGATAATCTGTTAAATAAGTATATGTAAAACTTTATACTTCATTTTTATCTGTTATCAATTTCATTTTTTAGCATCACGTTTGGGTGACTTGAGAGCTGAAAATGATGCAACATGTACATTTGAGGGTGAAAATAATGTATTAATTCAACAAGCCAGTAATTGGTTATTGAATCAATGGTCAAATGTGCTAAACGGAAAACGCATCAATTCCCCATTAGGAACAGCAAATTTTGTGCAAGATGCAAATCATATTTTAGCGCAAAAACTTTCTGATTCAACAGTTGATGATATACTAAATCCAGAAAGTATGCAAATAATTTCACAGTTTAAAAATTGTTATATCATTCTTCAATTTATGTAAATTGTTGTATTAAAAGTTGTTTTTTACAGATTTACTGTTTTCTTTGAAATGGTTAACATGTTATTACTTAAAAAAAACATATGAATGCACACAAGATTTAAAAAGTAAAGGTTGTGATGACTTTGAAATTAGGAATAACACACAAGTATTCTTTGCCCAAACCTTATCTCTATTATATGGACAGGTAATATTTTACTGCTAATTTCAAAAACTATTACTCATATTAATTTATTTTCATCTTATTGTAGCATGCAGTAATGAAGTATTTTGTAGAATCTGTACAAGATTCTGCATGGCAATCAAAGGAACGAAATGTATTAATGAAATTATGTTCACTTTATGGAGCAGTTATTTTAGAAAAACGATTAGCTGATATTTATGCTGGTGGTTACGCATTGCCTACAAGTGAAATCGATAAAGTAGTACGGAAAGGAATTATAGTTTTATGTAAAGAATTAGTTAAAGATGCTGTATCTCTAGTTGATGTTTTGGCACCACCAGATTTTATATTAAATTCACCATTGGGAATGGCTGATGGTCAGGTAAATTGATACTTGCTTAAATTTCTTTTGAAACTACAATATAATACATTTGTTTTTTTTGCATAGGTATATAAACATATTGAAGAAGAAATTTTTAAAGATAAGGAAAACTTTGAACGACCACCGTGGTGGAAAGAAATAATAAGATCTAAATTATGATGTGTACATATATATAACTGTTGTTATTATATTTTTAATATTTTTCTACTATTAAACAGTACACACTAAGACAATCAAAACTGACTAAAAAATTTATACAAAATCGTAACAAATATTTTTACTTGTATTATTTATACCAAATTATACAAATTTTAATAATGTTAATACATTATTGTTTTTTGATATTTCTTCTTTATTTCTAAGTATTTAAATCATTATCTGTAAGGTAGTTGACGAATCATACTCACATTAAAGTTCTGTATGTTTCTCAACTGTGATTAATGATTTGTCTGCTTCTACAAACCATTCATCGTAAACCATGTGTGGGTTAATCATCCAAAATTTGTGGAATGATACAGGTTCTTGCGAAGCAAGATATGCAGTTGCATAATCCGTGGGGCGTGCCTGTAATAAATATATTACACATATTTTGAAATTGCATGCACTTTACTTCCACAACAAGTAAGAAACAAATTCAAAAATTAGAATTATGACTATGATATATTATTAATGGTAAACGTACTTGATGAAATAATGGTGAATGAACAGTTTTCACTCCAATTTGTACTAAACATATACCAAATAAGTACATATCATCTGGTGTTGTAGCTGATGGGCAACTACATCTGCCAGAGTGAGTAATTTGATGCACCAAAGGTGCAGATAAAACAATTCCAGCTCCACCTGTTAAGTATTCATACCCATAAAGATTATCCCAGATTCGAAAACCATATCGTTCTCCAATAGCAATAGGACTATCTGGATTAAAGCAGGTCAACAATCGTAATAAACGTGCTACACTAATATCAAATAAATAATATTATATTAGTACTATATATTATTGAAGGTATATCTTCTTTGTTAAAGACATTAAGTAACTTACCTAAAAAGTGTATCATCATCACTCAGTACCAACCAATTTAAATTATTTTTTTTTAATATTTTATCTGCTTCTATTAAAATATCATAAGTCTTTTTACAGTGTCCATGTGTAGTATTTGACACAATGAAGGCATCAGAAAGATATTTATCTATACTGAAAAGAAGTATATTTCTTAACAATGTATTTTACATTTGATCAATTGTATATTAAAATTAATCATACCAGTTACATCACTAAAATAACCAATATTTGTAGTATACTTTGCCCACGTTTTTTTGATCACAGGAATTCTCTCCGAATGGTATTTTCCACAAGTTTTTACAGCAAAATACACACTTTCAGGTGATATAGACGAATTCTTTATTCCAAATAATATTAATATAAATTAAAATAATATAAGCATTAAATTATATTATAAGTAATTAAATAGACGACTCACACATGGATGAAAAAATCTTGGATATGTTGCACAATCTGAGCTTGATACAATACATATTTCAGGTACATGTGTTAGTCGTACTCCTTTATCAACTTTCAAAACAAAAGATGCAAATTCATATGATGCATCAATTGAAAAATCATCTTTTGGTCCTCCACCTTCAATGATTTTTTGTACTAAACTGGAGAAGCAAAATATATATTTATTTTATATGCACAGATTATGTATATAAACTATTTGACTGTAGAGCAAAATATTTTTGTACTTCATACCTTGTTAATAAAGTAATGGTTATACCGAAACCTGAAGCTATATGTGGATATTTAAACTTTTTATTATGATCTGCAAAATGATGTATAATAGTTGGTTCATGATCATATAATGCATGACCAATCCACAAGTTCTACAATGAAAGATACATAAAAAAAACTTCAAAAACTGTTCATTAAACTATTTGTCTTAATATTGATATTACTCACTTTATTTTCTTTGAATTTAGAAAGAATACCCAACAATTTATTCAATCTAATTACAGTATTCTCGAGACAAAAGAAGAACCATTTTGAAGTTGTATATGAATTTGACAAATGTTCCAATAGTGGTATTATTGTCCAAGATCCATTAATATTTAACTCGTGAGACAAAATGATTTCAGGAGGATTCTGTTGCATATATGAAACATTACAAAATTTATATTTAAATAATACATACAATTATAAAGTATACATACTTTATCAAGAATATCAGACTGCTCAACAATATTTCTTTTCAACATATCAGCATGCGCTATATGATAACCTTCTGTTTGGCTCAATATCACAATAACTATGTCACTCGGTTCTGTAAAAATAAATAAATTACATTTTTAACAATAATCATTATGATACTTACACTATAATACAAAGTACCTAAAACTTTTGCCTTAATTCCATTTATACATAATGTTAAAAATACAATATGTATAAAATATATAAGAGACATTATAGCTCTTAATTCGACAGTTAACTGTTGATTTAACTGTTAATTTCCAATTATCTGACTGTATACAGCTTCAGTTATTGTAATTCGAAAATCCTTTTTTATTTGAATAGCCTCCATTAGACATCAAATATAAACCTTCAACTATAAAATACATAGAATATCACCAAATTTGAAATATAAGACGATAAAATTATTTGTTCCAACAAAATAAAAATATGTTTATAAAAAAAGCTTAAAATATAGTAAATTACGTTAATAATGACGATTCATGATCATTTTAATGTTAATAATATTTAAACAAATGTTATAATGTTATCAAGTGTAAATTTAGTTTCCTTGGGGAAAATAGTGGCCAAGAGAAACAGGTTCCTACCATACGCAACAGTATAAGAAATTGATTTAAAAAGTTGAAAACATTTTGGAAACTGTATTCTTAAAAATAGTTTAAAATTTATACTTTCGCGACTACTACACTACTACCTAACAAAAATGTGGCGACATCTATTTCCGCTCAGCTGGATTTGCACTTGAACGTGCTTGTATTAGTCAATATGTAAATTTTATTTTGAATACTTGTTATTGTTGTTGATTAGTGTTATGGGCGTCGACTGCCATGGTCATTAACCCGGAATACTTGTTTTATAATGTTTTTTCTTATTAAATTATTCTTTGATTCAGAACAAATAAGCTTGCGTAAATTAAAGTATTACTTTATTTTATACTTCTATCATATTGTGATATACATATATTTAGTGAAAACAAAATCATCATAAACATTGTTCAAAGAAATATTAGTATTCAAGACTGAAAATTTTGTCTGCATTGATAAATATGGAAATATTTCAATACAAATGAATAATTAATTCATACATTTTTATAACAAAGTTTTATTAATTTTAATAACAACATATATTTATATACATATTTTAATACTATATTTACAGGAGAAACAAAATTTTATAAAATCAATATATCTTACATAGTGTATTTAAGAATAATATTAATATAACATAACTTAGCAGTTAAAGAATTCAGGAGGATAAGTACTTTCTGCCATACAGTTGTGCCTTTTTTTCAAAACCAATAGATTTAATAGGTGTGTTTAATTTATAAAATGGGTTCATTGAATACTAAAAGAAAAATAAATAAGAAAACATATTAGTGTATAATTTAATTTTAACATGACTCATTCTAGTATGTTTCTTACCTTTATGTACATTTCATACATTTCATTAAAAAAATTTTTGATACCATCCTCATTTTTACTGTCATGTACCATAACAAATCTAATGTGAGTTGCTGTAACAAATGCACTCACAAACCATTGATTAAATTTATCTACAACTTTTAAGTGCATATTTGTTGTTTTCCATGTATGTTCATCCACGAGATCTAATGCAGCATGTGCAATAAATTGATTTAAATGCGTATAATCTTCTTTCTATATTAAAGAGGAAATATTTAATTAATGTTCGATAGTTACAAATGACAGATTGATTTGAAGACAAATTTTTTAATATCCAGAATATTTAATTTTAAGTGGTCTAGGCAATTGTCTTCTAAATTATTCATTATTGAAAGATCACCATGTTATTATATATATAAATCTTGTTTAAATGGATATACCTCCAAGATCTATACCTTTCTTTTTAAGTGAAGCTATGTTTTCTTTATTAGAAAGATTGGTACCCAAAAATCAATAAAAACTTTCTATTTTTTATATTTGAAAATTTAATGTTATTATATCTTTAAATAAAATACAAAATATCTTGAAAGATCAAAAAACACTTCTTTCTAAGTAAGTTAACTATTGTTTAAATAATTAAAAATTATCTTCTTTATATTTTCCAAGCATAACCTATAAGGAACAACTAACCTTTGCATCTTTCCCCGAATTATTGAATTCAATTTCAAATAAAGGATTATCAGCGTGACCAACAATTGCAAAGTAATAATTAGCTGTCATCTTATTTCAACTATTAATTTATATAAATTAATATTACTAAACTTCACTGATTATTGTTTACAATTTATTATTAATTAATTTTAGTACACATAAAAGTTCGCATTTATTTATAAAATTTGTAAAAACTCATTTCATTATATTAAGAATTGAAACATTGCAAAATTAATACCAGTAATCAATTATTTCAAATAAACATTATTTTGACATTTCGTGAATAGTAATCATCAGTTGCTCTATCTCGTTTCACGAAAGAATGAGATCACTTCACATTACTCAATTAAGTTCAGGAGATCCCCGCACGTCTATTGCCCTCTCCACGACTTATTTTCTGCACTTATTGGTCATACACAATATACAGAAAAATATTTGAATACAGAAAAATGTGATTACGAGCAAGAATATAATAAATATAGGATCACTATATATACACGATTGTTGTAAAAGCGCATGCGTATTACTTTTGGTTACAAAATATACAAAACCAATCAAAGGTAACATGTGCGAAACCAACAAAAATTGATAACTTTATTATTTTATCAAATTAACTATACTACCTTCCATTGTATTATGAATGTAAGAATAAAGTATAAATTTGGATTATAACCATTGAGCATATGACAGACGCGGTATAATAACGGATGCCTAAATTTAATTCGTTGCTTCTCTGCGCATGTTTTATACCGCCAATTATGAAAAACTAGACATTACCGATTAGTATAGATTTTTAAGTTATATAATACTAAACAAATGATTATTCTTTTACACACACTGACTATTTGAGAAATCTAAAGATGTGGAAATTACAAGTTAAAAACTGTTATATTCTCTAATGTAGGAACCCAGAAGTTAAGAATTTTCGAATTTAGGAATTAAAAAATTTCAAATTTAGAAATTAATATAAATATTTCACATTTTTAACTTGTAGCAAACTGCAGCCAATCAAAATTGGGCATCGATTTATATTGCCGTCTGGTCTTGCAATGGCTTCTCCCCGCTCTCAAGGATATGCACTATCCTATGTCCCCAAGCCCATGCACTGTATTTATATACCTACTCCAGTAAACTTGTTGATTAAATATATTTCACTTGTAATCAAATAGACAATTGGATACTAATGAAACAAACACGCAACAGATATTCTTGTCTACAGAATTATTTAAAAAATAATGTTCGACTACAATTATAAATAATTACTCAGTCTAAGGTATGATAAAATATTAAATACGCATATGTCAAAAAACAAAACACTGTAAAAGTTATGACTAAAATAAAATTCAAATGTTCTGAATTTAATATTGATCAACTATTATTATGCTTGTATATAATTTAATGAAAAAATATTATATTAATACTTAAAAATTGGGTAATTTAATATTTAAACTCGCCTTACATTTTAAAATACATTCCTTAGTAAATAGTTAGGGGATATTTATAAACATTTTGAAACGATCAAAAGATTTTAGAAATATATCTTTCAAATAATTTTATTGCAAATATTTCAATGTATATTTTCGATACGCTTTACTATCAATACATTAGTTTTATATTTATATAAAATAAAAATTTGATTTCATATATGAAATTCCGCGGAAGGGATTGTTTATTTAATATGTATTGTAGTAATACAAAAAAATTAAACTACAGAACTTTTATGCAAATTTTTATTAATTGGCTGAGACATACTCATTTCCTTAAGATTTAACATACCTATTTATTCAAGAAGTAACACCATGTTAGGTATATGATCTTTGTAGAAATCGAATTTCGTAAATTTTTTGTTATCACTAGTTGTAATCACGATTTTTTCCTGTTACAGCATGTGGGAAACATATTTCATATTTCCTGATGTAAGTAAATACGTACGTGATGTAATACGCAAAATTAGGTTAAACAAGTGATAAGATTTTTTAAATTAAACCTACAGTGTTAAGACTTCAGAATTTATAATCAGTGTTCCTTGGAATTCCTTTACTATACATAAAGGTTTGCAAAGTACATTCTATTTTAGTGAATATGAAAGAGTTGAAAAGTATTTCAAAATGAGTTAAGTATTGTGACAGTAAGACAGGAATATCGTTTTTAAATTACTACTAATTTTCATTATATGATATACGTGATTAAAAAAGAGGTGTGTTTCTAACATTTTTTTCTGCTATTGTTATGTTTAGCATTATAGTACTAATTTCTTTTGTTCATTATCTATAAGATAACGTTATATTCATGAATAACTTATCATAGTTTCAAAAATTATGGTATAAGAGATATGTGTTACAAATTTAGTTCCATTAGTATAATTTATAAAAGTGTTTCTAAAAGACTAGAAATTTGAATAGAACATTATTTTATTACATTAAATTATTATAAAAAATTAAATTCTTCTAAAAGAGTTATTACATACTAATTCAGTTAAGAACATTTTAACATAAAATGGGAATTTTAATATTAAAAAAAATTGTGCTATTATTTTATGATACTGAAATTATTTTAACTTATGATTATATTTTATTTTCAGAAGTGCTATTTCAGGTTACTGACATTATTAATGTAAAGTATATTATTCAGTTAAAATAATATAGATTACAATCTATATTATTATTACAGATAGCCGTGGAAAAATGTTTACTTATTTAAAACATTCTATATTTCTAAAATGGCCAAGATAATCTTGAGTTTGCACTTACTGCTACAAAATTATTTTGGTACATTTATAGGTACAGTAATATTATATACTTACTTGTATATTACACGTTTATTTCTTTCTTTTATTTCATGTGCTTTATAAATGGTGATAAAACCAATATGCCTTAATAAAGTCTTAAATTAAATTAAAATTTTTGTTACAGAAATTTCATATAATTAAAGATCACACAATGTGTGATTGTTAGTAGCGATTAATGGAAATGAAATTAATCCAACTATAATGCTTGATTTTTTATGAAAGTGAAGTTACTTACTTGTATTGTGTATCATGGTTCGGCAAAGGCTTCCAAATATTAATGGTAAAGTATATTATAATGTGACTTCAGATAGACAAATTTGGGAAAATCAGAAATAACAATCTTTATTAAACAATTTTTACCTTTAACATAGGTGTTAGAAATAGTAAACATCTGGTATTAAGTCTTATTACTGGTGTAATTTTTGGATTTCTCTCAGCGTGCCTTTTAAAAACATCTACAAAAGATGTGCCATATATGTTTAACTGGTTTTCTGGTAATTTTCCACTTTCAAGAGACCCACATCATTATTCAGAGCTGGAATCAGAGGTAAATATATTATTCATAATTCATAGTTTTCTTATTTCATTTATAATATTATCAATAAATATAACAGGTTGGACCTGAAACAGAAGTAAAATTTCATGGTGAAGATGAAGATTTCCATAAAGGTGAAGATAAAGTTGCACAAGATCTTGAGAAACGAGTACGTGTACTTTGTTGGATTATGACAGGTCCAAAAAATCATCAAACTAAAGCACAACACGTGAAAGCAACATGGGGAAAACGTTGTAATATTCTCTTATTTATGAGCTCTGCAGAAGGTAAATTATTATATTTTGATTATATAAGTTCTAAATTAGAAATAAATATTCAAAATAATATTAAATTCCTTTTGTCTAGATGCAAATTTACCTGCAATTGCTTTGCCAGTAAAAGAAGGAAGAGATAATTTATGGGCAAAAACCAAAGAAGCATTTAAATATGTTTATGAGAAGTACAAAGATGAAGCTGATTGGTTTATGAAGGCTGATGATGATACGTTAGTAATTTCTCATGTTTCTTTTCTGCTGCAGTTTATAAGTGTTAAATTCGAACTTTTTAGTAATATACATAATATTTTATATTATTACCACCAGTTTATTTTGAAAATTTTTAACATTTAATGTAATAACAACAGCATTTGAAGATTCAAAATTTTATATTGCAATTATCTATATTAGAACCTTTATCAAAATAATTTTCTAAATGAATTAGATTAAAAAATGACATTCACGCTAACAATCCATTTCATAATGATTTGAAATTTCAGTTACATATTCTATGCAACTATAAGCATTTTGATTTCGATTATTAATTAACATTATTTACATTGACAAAATACATTAAGCAATAACTAGTCTGTAATAAAACTGCATTTTTATCTATAGACCGAGTTATTTCAATTTAGAACTAACTAATTCACTAAAATATTTCTAGATACGTGGTGGTAGAAAATCTACGATATATGCTTTCGTCTTACGATCCAAGTTCGCCGCTATATTTTGGCTGTAGGTTTAAACCGTTTGTAAAGCAGGGATATATGAGTGGCGGTGCAGGATATGTACTTAGCAAAGAAGCTTTGCGAAAATTCGTGAAGGAAGCTTTGCCTGACAGGACTAAGTGTCGTTCGGATAATGGAGGTGCAGAAGATGTGGAAATGGGAAAGTGTCTCGAGAAAATAAATGTTAAAGCGATGGACACACGAGATCCGCACGGTCGTGGGCGATTTTTTCCTTTTGTACCGGAGCACCATTTAATTCCTAATCACATGGATACAAATTTTTGGTACTGGAAGTACATTTATTACGATACCAAAGATGGTCTCAACTGTTGTTCCGATAGAATTATTATATTTTGATTATATAAGTTCTAAATTAGAAATAAATATTCAAAATAATATTAAATTCCTTTTGTCTAGATGCAAATTTACCTGCAATTGCTTTGCCAGTAAAAGAAGGAAGAGATAATTTATGGGCAAAAACCAAAGAAGCATTTAAATATGTTTATGAGAAGTACAAAGATGAAGCTGATTGGTTTATGAAGGCTGATGATGATACGTTAGTAATTTCTCATGTTTCTTTTCTGCTGCAGTTTATAAGTGTTAAATTCGAACTTTTTAGTAATATACATAATATTTTATATTATTACCACCAGTTTATTTTGAAAATTTTAAATATTTAATGTAATAACAACGGCATTTGAAGATTCAATTTTATATTGCAATTATCTATATTAGAACCTTTATCAAAATAATTTTCTAAATGAATTAGATTAAAAAATGACATTCACGCTAACAATCCATTTCATAATGATTTGAAATTTCAGTTACATATTCTATGCAACTATAAGCATTTTGATTTCGATTATTAATTAACATTATTTACATTGACAAAATACATTAAGCAATAACTAGTCTGTAATAAAATTGTATTTTTATCTATAGACCGAATTATTTCAATTTAAAACTAGCTAATCCACTAAAATATTTTTAGATACGTGGTGGTAGAAAATCTACGATATATGCTTTCGTCTTACGATCCAAGTTCGCCGCTATATTTTGGCTGTAGGTTTAAACCGTTTGTAAAGCAGGGATATATGAGTGGCGGTGCAGGATATGTACTTAGCAAAGAAGCTTTGCGAAAATTCGTGAAGGAAGCTTTGCCTGACAGGACTAAGTGTCGTTCGGATAATGGAGGTGCAGAAGATGTGGAAATGGGAAAGTGTCTCGAGAAAATAAATGTTAAAGCGATGGACACACGAGATCCGCACGGTCGTGGGCGATTTTTTCCTTTTGTACCGGAGCACCATTTAATTCCTAATCACATGGATACAAATTTTTGGTACTGGAAGTACATTTATTACGATACCAAAGATGGTCTCAACTGTTGTTCCGATAGCGCGATTTCTTTTCACTACGTGTCACCTAATATGATGTACGTTTTGGAGTACTTAATTTATCACTTAAGGCCATACGGAATCACGCATGGCGTGGAAAAACTTACTGCGGATCAGTCAACTACTGTATTAACTGAATACTAGTCTATATACTATTTCAATCAAAATACTACAACTTCTGATGGGTAAATGTATTATTTACAAGTGTCGGAACTTATAAAATTATTAAAATTAAGGAATGTATTAAAATGTTTAATTTCTTTAACAAATTCAAAGAATTGATCAAAGTTCTGACACTAAAATTCTTCCAGATCTGAAAAAAAAAATGGTAAAATGTGTGAACGTATTATATCATACTAAATTATGTTTGATCTGAGTTAATAAGTATTATAGTAAGTTATTCAGTCTTTGATGTTTTAAACTATATACAAATTTTACATATTTGCGAAGAGAGTTACAGTTAACAAGAACTTGTGGAAAATGTTTTAAAAGTACTTTTCAGTAATACTTGAAGTGACTTAGGACTTTCATTGCGTATCTTTAAACCCATCAGTAATAGCAAGTATAATTATAATTTTATTCTTCTTTTTATTGTTGTCATGTTATGACACTAGTCTATTCAGGCCAACGAATTAAACGTTAATATATTCACCAAAAGATAAAATGTGTGATATATACGGTATTTCATAATGATATATATATATATATATATATATATATATATGTATATATATATAGATATAATGTTTATACGTACCTATATGTAATGATGAAAAATTTATAATTTCATTGTAAAAGTCAAATGGAGTGTACACTGCTCTATAAATAAATGTTACAAGCATATTAGAAATGTTATTAATAATTCCTTTTCCTGCTTGTCATTTTCGGCGATCTTATTACACGTTTGAACATGTAGAATGACACGTATATTAAACAGACAAATAATCCGCAAATGAACAAAACCTACATTATTAAGGTAATAAAAGTAAGTTTATCTAGTAATTTTTAACGAGTTATTTGTTAGATAAATAAAAGGCATATAATGTAAATTAAAAAATTTTTTATAAATTGAATGTCCTTATAAAAAAACAAAAAAGAATTATTAGGTTATAAGTCTACATATATTGCCACTAACTTGGAATATTGGTTATATTCTTTGACATCCATATGAAGTGTGTGCTTAATTCAAAAAATTCTTTGTAACGGAATAATACATAATTTTGGTATTTACAAATATTTGAAAAAACAAGAACGTGATGTTTCCATTATGCTTGCAACATCAGAACTGTAAGACACACAATCGCGTTTCGTGTGAAATGAGGTATATAATTATATATACACATAAAACTGTATTTCGTAATATTAATATAATAATGGTAATAATAATAATAATAATAATTAATAATTAATAATAATAATCCCAATAATGATGTTCTACCCAGATAATAAATACTATAGATACAGTGTGAGTGTGGTGTGTGAGTAAATTAACCAATTAACTTTATAAGGGGGAGAGGATTAGGGGTTGCTATGTACAAGTCATATTTGTACTATGCGACTGACGCAATTAGCCATCATTGGCTTTCATTCAGACGCGCCCTGTATTCTCATCTCTTGTCTTTTTATTTTTTTTCCTTATATACTTTTTTTCATTTCGTTCACTTGCTCATTTGTTTGTTTGTTAAATAATTTTTTTCCTAAATTGCAGGGAACAAACCTCTCTGTGCTCCTTTTTCTTCTCATTTCTGTTTTACTCGCTCGCTCCCTCTGTTCATTCTCAATTATCTAATATCTCGGCGATGTCTCTCACTTCATAAATTATTTAAAAACAATATTTTACACTATTAATGTATGTATAATATATAGAGGTCACCTAATTCGAATAAAATTTGTCAAACAGCATCGAAAAATTGCGCTAACGGGTCCAGGAAACATGATAACAGTGACCCAGTGCCGCGCCGAGCATAATATAATATAATATTATATAATTGTCGTACGTATCTCACACCAGGGGCTTGTACGAGGCATTTTTTTACTTGTAAAAAAGAAGTATCGCCTCCCTTTCCGTTCTTCTTTTTTTTCATTTATATCATCTATATAAAATTAAAAAACAACGTAATATCATTTATATTACTTCGTCGTTATTAATAATAAAAGCTTTGTACAAAATTCAATTTACAATTAAAAACGTTTTGGTTACGTAATTTTCTAGAGATTCTGATTCATAATTGAACTATCTACCGATAGAGAGGCAATTGAAAGTTAACTTCTTTTAATGCGCTCTCTTTTGTTTCCCCGTTTTTCTTCCGTTTATACACGCATTCGCTCTCCTTCTCTCACGTTCTCTCTCTGTTACTTTCTCTCTTTAGTTCTTTCGCGTGTTCATTCGTTCTATCAGTTTCTCGCATGCAATATTAACTTTCATTCATCAGACTCCATTTGGTATGCGGCAATTATATGGTCGTTAATTAACTTTTTCTATTCTCTTTTTTATCGTTGAGGTTATTGGTAAAACACAAAGTACAATCCATTCATCGTTTCATTTTTTTTCTCCACCTACCAAATTACAGAAATAGAAAAATTTTAAAAAGAATTTACTATGCATCGATAACCATCGAGTCTATGTTATTAGTTGCGACGTGGCTTATCATATCGCGTTGTATCAATTTAAAGATAAAAAAAAAAAAAAAAAAAAAAAAAAAAAAAAAAAAAAAAAAAAAAAAAAAAAAAAAAAAAAAAAAAAAAAAAAAAAAAAAAAAAAAAAAAAAAAAAAAAAAAAAAAAAAAAAAAAAAAAAAAAAAAAAAAAAAAAAAAAAAAAAAAAAAAAAAAAAAAAAAAAAAAAAAAAAAAAAAAAAAAAAAAAAAAAAAAAAAAAAAAAAAAAAAAAAAAAAAAAAAAAAAAAAAAAAAAAAAAAAAAAAAAAAAAAAAAAAAAAAAAAAAAAAAAAAAAAAAAAAAAAAAAAAAAAAAAAAAAAAAAAAAAAAAAAAAAAAAAAAAAAAAAAAAAAAAAAAAAAAAAAAAAAAAAAAAAAAAAAAAAAAAAAAAAAAAAAAAAAAAAAAAAAAAAAAAAAAAAAAAAAAAAAAAAAAAAAAAAAAAAAAAAAAAAAAAAAAAAAAAAAAAAAAAAAAAAAAAAAAAAAAAAAAAAAAAAAAAAAAAAAAAAAAAAAAAAAAAAAAAAAAAAAAAAAAAAAAAAAAAAAAAAAAAAAAAAAAAAAAAAAAAAAAAAAAAAAAAAAAATAAAAAAAAAACGAGAACCCGAGTAAGGAAAAAGATCTCGGTGTTACGCATCGGAGAATTATTAACTATTTAATCGAAGGATCGTTCTCTCCCAGTTATCCAGAGAACCTCAAGGTCTCTAACATACAGTTGAAGACGGATGTAGGAAACCAGTTGCTCTCGTAAAGCCCCAAGTGATGGTATGGTAAAGGAGTGCGTGAAAGAGGTGCACATACTGCACTACGAAGAAAGAGGGTGTGGGTCAGACGAGAGCTGCCGCTGCATGGTAGAGCTGCATGAGCGCTTGCACGTGCACTGGTAAGCAGGATAGCCGATCCTTCGTGTTCGCATCCACTGCGAGCCACGATAATGCATTGTATCCTTCCAGTACATATCTGAAAGGTACAACAATATTGGTCAATTCATTATCAATTATTTCATACTGTTTACTTGTATAGAATACTTTTAAATTATGCTGCAAATTAAATTTTTCATGCAAAAACAGCAAAACATTAAATTAAATTAGTTACATATTTTTTGAAATGCTATATAAATTTGTGAGTGAAAAATAAATTATAATTGATAAGTTTATTATTTTAACAAAGTCATAATACTTCTTGGCTCATTTAAAAAGTATTAATAGCAGTACCATTAGATTTGGAGCCAACTTTAGAAACAAAAAATTTGTCCAAAGGTTGTAATGTTTAAAGAAGATAAAATTTAAACTATTAAAGGCAATAACATAAACCTGAGCACATCGGTGGTATACTGCGAGTCTAATGGATGAGCAGTGAGTGCACTTTGTTGTTGCAACAGATCGTCACTATTCTGCTGTATTGCTGGACTATGCAAATGTAAGGCATTCTTCAAGAACACTGGGCAAACACCCTCAAGATGGGGACAAGCTGACCAAAACCATGGTGGCATTCGCCCTGTTGGTGCAGTAGATACTAGATAACCAAGAGCAAGTGGTTGCTGTAATAGCGTTCCAACTTCCTCTGCCTGCTCAGCAACTGCTACCTATTAATTAAAAGTATTATGGTAAATGTATATAATTCTTACAATAGTAGTGGGATTAAAGGCAGAATAGGAATGAATTATTAATTGCGTTATTTTTAATTTAAAATTGTATTTAATGTATTTCTATTCCTAATATCATTTTAACTTACTCTTGGTGTGTTGCTACATGGGAATGGACTACCAGGACCATCATGATTCCCTAAACCTGAGCCACCACCATCTCCACCTAGTGGTGATCCCTCGGGACGATGTGGACTGCCACCAGGGCTTTGTCCTCCACCTGCGCCTGCCTCTGGCCATACACTGAAGATATCGTTGAAATCTCCCATAGCATCCATGCCTTCAGGCATATCATCATTTAGTGCATTAAACAGTTCATCATCTCCTAAATCTGGTCCATTAATGTGTTGCTCTTGAAATGCAGTTTGTGATGACTGTAGCAAAGAAAGAGTCGCGATTAAGATCATAGTTAAGAACATAATTAAAAACATAGTTATAAAATGAAATTATACAATTTTATTGGACTTCTCTTTAAGCATTGAATCTTTTTAAGTATATTTTTTTTAAGATCAGATATGACCAAAACATGAATCTACAAAAACGTATTTAGTTTTCATTCTGTACTTGTAATATAAAACATAAGTGTAGTTAATCTTTAAGAATTATACTATTGACAATTATTTTAAGTAATATTTTGATTAAAACAACTTATATCTTAAGATTACCTGAATCATTCAGAAGCGCAGATTAGCAGTGTATTGTAATATAAGAACGAGTTTATATTTTTTTAAAGTAAATATTATTATAATGCTTTACTTAGTATATTTAATGTATGGATGGAATGTATATATGAAACACAAGATACAATTTTTATTTTGTAAAAAAATAGTATAAACTTATGAAACACAGTAAAACGTCGATTAAAGAAAATGTAAGAAAAATGATATTGTAATATACAGTAAGAAACCAAATAATAGTTAATACTTTTATTAAAGAAAAAAAGGTGTAATAATGTAAAATTTAGAAATAGCAAAAATACTTTTTTTCCCAGAATGACACTTTCATGTTTTTCATTAATTGACATTTTATCGTGCTCCGTCTCAACGAGATAATTGAAAAAATTTACCTGAGTGGTAGCAGATGTGGGAAAGACGAGAATATGAGTACATGTAACATCTTGTGGTGTGGATAATTGGCAGTTTACCGATGCTTGGCTAAATCTCTCATCGGGTGTGAACTGATCAGCCATCAACCTAAGAGTCGAATCTGGTTCAAGCGAAACTAAACAGGCGCTGAGCACACAAGGTGCCGCTGACGGATACAAAAGACTACACTGGCCACATATTTCCTTTAGATGTTTAGAAGCTTTGAGAAGCGCTTTCCTGGATAGTAACCAACTCCAACCCTTCAATTCACCATGTCCAATACGACCCACACGACCTACTACTAATCTCCATGGTTGTAC